CGGGTGTCCCCGCGCCGAACCTGGACTGCGGGGCCAGGGCCCGGCGCGGGGACTGGTGTGCTGGACCGCGGAATTGAGACGGCTTCCGGCCCCGGGAGTCCGGTGTGTGAAAGTTAACGCTCCTCGAGGAGCGAGTTAACTCGAAACCGCGCTGTGCCCGGCATCAGGCTGGACATCCAGCAAGTTGTGTTTATGCGCGAATCAGAAACCCCCAGGAGGTCTGTACTCTCCCGGCTTCTCTGACCGGGGCCATCCTTCCCTTGCACCTGCCTGTTGCAGCCGTGTCATAACTGGTTGTCCTACTTTCAGCCTCTCACTAGCCTGAGTGATCTTTCTAAAATGCCAATCAGTTCCTGTGGCCCTTGGGCTCAGAATCATTCGGTGGACCCGCATTGACTGAGTAAAATTCAGTTTTTACCTGGGCACGCCGGCTCTTCGGGACCTGATTCCTGTTTACCTTTCCAGACTTGATTCCCGATATTCCAGTATTTGGGAATATGGGCTTTGGACTTTGATTTGACTTTTCCTCTAAATCACGCTGAGCCCCCAGTGTCATCTTTGCAGGAATGAAGTGATGATGCCCAAGATTACTGCCCCCACCCCCAAGTTCAGGACCCCTTTTCACTCTGGAGATGGACCAAGTCTCCTAACTTGGCGTTCAAGGTTCTACCTAATTTGGATACTCACTTAGCTCTTTGGCTTTAAAAAGCATTTTTATATTCTTTTTTTAAACTTCCACAATATGTCTCTTGCCAGTTGAGCTATCCTGCCTCAGTACCATTTGCTCATGCTTTCTCTGCCTGGAATGCCCTTCCCTTCTTCCTTCCCCTGTTCTTCCTCTTAGACCTGAGAGTTCTAAACCTTATTTCTGTCTCTCCCAGCTCTGGTTTACTCTGATTTTCTGTGTCGGTTTCTCAAAAAGTACTTTTCTTGATTTTCTCCATTTCTCTTCCCACCTCACCCTCAGTGCCTCTTTCCACATTACTTTATAATCTGTTTCTGCCGGTCTCATCTGACTGCCAGACTATTATTAGCTCTTCAGGACAGGGATTGGTTTTACCCTTCTTGTATTCCAGCATTTCGCATAGTACCTGGCACTTAGCAGGTACCAAGTAGACATTAGCTGGATGAAGGAAGTGAATAAAATAGATTTTTAAAGTCAGGAAATTCTTTTTAAATTTTGAATTTTGTTTTAATGATGATCTTATTTTCTTTTTACAGGAATTATATAAAGTTGAGAAAACATGGTGAGTTAATACACATCCCAATAAACTGTTGCCTGATAAATAGTATTGCTTGTACTCAGTTTACAGACTTGCATGAGAAAGTTGAAATGGAAGGACAAAGAGAAGGGATGGTGTCTTTTTTTTGTCTTTTTTTTTTAAAGATGACCGGTAAGGGGATCTTAACCCTTGGCTTGGTGCTGTCAGCACC